AAAAGTTTATTTATTGCTGTCAACATTGTTCTTGTGGATAGTTCCTGTTCAGGACGGTGCCACTCTCTTAACGCTAAGGCAGAATGTTTCTGCAGTCTGGCTTTTGGGAACACACGGAGCCATCAGCTCCATTAAAGTCCCCACGGGACAGACGTCAGCGTCCTGCACGTGAATAAGCTACTTTAAAATATCTGAAAAGCATGACTGCATTTCCTCCAGTTAGAAGTGGAAGTCAGGCCATCGGATGTCACTGTGGTTCCTGTCTCACCAAATAGGGAGCCTGGAACAGACAGTACCAATGGAATGTGGCACTTTCCCAGCTGAGCCAGTCCAAGTCCACAGGCACTGCAAGCACCCATTACCAACTGGTTGGAGTGAGTCCAGGTGAGATCTCAGCCCGCTCAATAAACACCTGAGGTATCACAGTATGCAGACAGCAGAGCAAGGGCACGGTGAACCAGCAGACACAGTGCAGTCAGACTGTGGCTCTGCACCTCTGCTTGACTCTCCATGCTCGTCTACGGCCTAGCGGGACCTCTCTAATCCCAAGGAAAGATTTTCTTAATATACACACCACACACACACACACACACAGATCAGACCAGTTTGGAGCCCTGACTGACAACCTACAACAACCAAGGCTTACAGACCATGATTACTCACTGGTGAGACATCTCTTATCAAACTGCTCTACGAAATTTGGGGTTTAATTGTACCTTGCTTTTGAGAAAGATAAACCTGGCAGTGACCTGTTCTTGGCATGTTCTGTTTAACAATGCTCAACTGTTTTCCCATCGTCTAGCTGTCATGGGGTTCAATACAAACTCTGGCACAACACGTTACTGCCCTGTGTCCTAAAGTGGATTCTGACCCCTAGCAACCACGCGGGAGCCCGAATTTCCCAGGCTGCAGAGTGGCGTGCCAAGTCACGTACCCATGGAGTAGCTGGGGGGTTCAAACCACCAACCTTCACCATTGCGCACCCAGCGTTCCTTGGCCTAACATCTAGTTCCCCACACTGGAAACCTTCGTCCTTTCTTTCCTTCCCCTCCCTACTGCTCTTATCAACACCAGATTCTACATTTATATATGGCTGCATTCACTTTATATTGCAACTGTCACAAATTACCACACACACAGTGGCTTGAAACAACAACATTTATAGTTCCATAGAAGTCCAATGTGGGTCTGATTAGCTGAAACAACATCGGCAAGGCTGCATTTCTTCGGGAGGCTTTAGAAGAGAATCAGGTTCCTGGCCTTCTCCAGCTTCTAGACGGCTGCCTGGGTTCTTTGGCTGGTGGGCCGCTTCCACGTTCAAAGCCAGCAATACAGTAGGCAGAAAGAAACGTTCTCACCTCTCACCACCTGGACACGTTCACATCTACCTCTGTTTCAGATGGCCTTTGTGAATGCATTGGATAATCTCCCTGCCACATGGTCCTCAATCTTATCACATCTGCAAAGTCTCTTTCACCATATATGGTAACATACTCAGTTTTCAAGGATTAGGAAATGGCCATTTTGGGAGGGTTGCCATGATTCTGCCTACCACAGAGATGCAGCTCCTTTGACCTGGAACAGTCACTTCTTTGCCTAGAAGATTCTGACCATTCCTCGGGCATCCATTAAAACCCACGGGAATGTTACCTCTTCCACCGTCAGCCGGACGGGCTCCTTCCTGTCCATCTCGTCAACCCTGCAGGTATACATAACTTCTGCAGCATCTATCTTCTGCTATAGCAGTGCAATTTGTCCTTAAGCGTGTCTCTGATTAGGTTGTGAGTCACTAAATCTTACTCATTTCTGCAGCCCTTGAGGCCTAACCATAAAAGTTGGTGGAAGCAAAAAGTGAGGCCTCCCAGTGGAGGCAAGACCTATACACTGATAGGACTTCTGCTCTGAATAGAACTTATAAACTTTCGACAGCCCTTGTCTGGTTATTATCACATAATCAATCAAACCTCCCAGTCCTTTAACCTTTATAGGGAGATGTTACAGCAACTTTAAAATCAAGTGTTGGCAGTGAAATATTTCATTCATCAAGGATCACAAAATGTCAAAGTTTTAAGTGTCAACCCGAGCCTGGCAAATAAAGGGCATGCCATACCCCAAGCAACTGACCAGGTTGGGGAAGGGATTACTATCACATGATACACGGATTCAAAAAAAAGAAGCATGTGTCCAACAAATACGATTGAGCTTTGTTGGAAGTTAAAAGCAACTTTGTCACATTTACTGTATATATTTGAATATAAGCCAACCCAAATATCAGCCAAGGCACCTAATTTTACAGCAAAAACTGCATTAAAAATGTGATGAAAAACTCAGCTTATACACAAGTATATACGGTACTTGGTGTTTCAGTATCTGAGTTCATGCATTCTGATAAATAAGCAAAACGGTACTTGGTGTTTCAGTATCTGAGTTCATGCATTCTGATAAATAAGCAAATACTTTATAAGCTCAGATTAATCAATGTTAAAATAGTCTCAAACACTTGCACTGTAAGCCAAGAGAGGAGCTGAATACATTAAGATCACGTGAATAGGGAAAGATCTATTTTTAAAGGTAATAATAGTTGGCTATGAATTTTAGAATTAGCTATGACATAAAACACATAAATATACAGACATAAAAATAAGATTAAAATTATGCCCTTAATGGTTAAGCTACTGGAACCCAACAGAAAGTACAAAGGACAAGAAATTATTGCCCATTTTCTAAATTTAATATAAAATCCCCTTTGCTATTTTTTCCCTTCACTGACAGTAATAAAAGCCCTCTGAAACCTAATGTCTATTGGATTTAGGATAGAAGAATGTAAAGTTCAAGTCAAAATCAATGCATAAATGTCTTTTGTTAAATTTCATTGTCTTTTCTTAACACTCAGAAAATACGTAAGGTTGTTTAGCTAGCTCCAGATGGGAGCTGATTGGTCTATGTAAAACCTTACATGCACAAAAAAGGAAGCAGAGATCTAGCTGCTGCTTCTATGTCTGAGAACTCAAAGCTGAAAAGGGATGGATGGACTTCCACTTGGGAATACAATCTGCATAAGAGCCAGGGTAAGTTGTACCCACATGCTGCTCTTTAGGGCAGATGTTCAAGGTAATCATGTTGTTGTGTCTGGACATTCCAAGTCTTTACTGTTATTAAATAAATCATGGTTACCCATAAGCACAGTATCGAACCCACTTGGGGAAATCACCCAGGTACATGAAACTGGAACTGGGGTCAGCAGGCTGAACAAACATGAAAGGTTATTCACAATCCATTACACTTAATTAGGGTGTATTAGGAATGCAAAGACGTAGTTTTGTAATAAGTAATATGTAATAAATATTATTCTAACTTAATAAAACTGAACCCAGTACTTAGCCAGACAGGCAAAATAATTTAGCTTCCCTAAGGGAGCCGTGATGGGCTATGATCCTCATGGTCGGCAGTTTGAAACCACTAGCTGCCCCTTGGGAGAAAGACTGGGCTTTCTACTCCAGTAAACAGGTACAGTCTCAGAAACCTACAGGGGGTCACTATAAGTCAGCATTGACTCATGACAATGACTTTGGTTTTAGAAGAGAAAGAACGAGTTCCCACTACAACAAGGATTGTTTTTCTCACCCCTATTGGACCCAATAACCCTGACAGTGGTAGTTGCACTCTGTTTTTGGAAGAATCCATACTGGACCCCTTAGTGTGACCGGCAACCCGAATCTTCTCTTTAAGAAAAATGCCAGGAGAATAGCATTGTTCTAATACAGTACTTGCTTCTCAAAAATTAATCTTCCATTTTACATTTCATCTTGAGCAATTTTACCATGTTCAGGATATTTCCCATGGCCAGTGTGTTGATTCTGACTCACAGCAGCCCTAGAAGGCAGAGAAGTGCTCCTTTGGGTTTCTATGACTGTACCTTAAAAAACAAAAAACCCTTGGTTTATTTATTTATGACCGTAAATTTCCGTGGGAGCAGGCAGGCTCGTCTTTCTCCTACTCACAGTAGCAAGTGAAAAAAAAAAGTGTTTCATCTAGAAACAAAGTGCGAAAGCTTTACCAAAAAAACCCTAAACCATGATACTTCTACAATGCTGGACTTTCAAGTTTTCTATATAACAGATGACACAAAATAAAGACTGCTACAGTAGCCAAACTTTTCCGTTCTGACTACCCCTAGAAACAAAAGCAATTCAACCTCAACAGATTATTTTCTACTGTGGATGATGATCTTGCAAACATTTTTTCGTTTTTTTTGCCAGCTTGCTTTTTTAAGTCTTACAACTTGCAAGCGCAAGGATTTTTTAAAAAAGGGGGGTGCGGGGGGGTGGTGCGCAAGGTAATGTCCAGGCTTAAAATAGACCGTCTCTGTAATGACTTCGTTTTTTAAGCCAATGAAGCATGTTTTCCCACTCCAAGCCGTGAGGCAATTCCACGTCAACTTGCTATAGTGCAAAATGCGACCAACTCCGAAAACCCGAGTTGGAGGCGCAACACCGCCAGCTACCCTGCTCTGCTGCGGCATCGGGACACCGAAGGGTCTCAGGGACCCAGGCCAGCACACTCGCCCTCTGACCCATCCTTGGCCTAGGGGAAACTGAGGCACTGAAATGCGAGCTGTGTGGATTTCACAGAAGGCCCTCAGCCCACCAGAGGGGTGGGGTGGGGGTGGGGGCAGCGGCTGGCGCCTGAGACCTGGAAGATTCCCCCGCAGTGCGCTGGGGACACCACGTTCTCCGCGCTCCAAAGGGGAAGGCACGAGCCCCGGACGCAGCCGTTCCCACGCCAGCAACCCCGCTCCCGCCCCGCGAGGATCTCGCAGCAGCCCGCGACCCCCGGGAACCGCTGCGGGGACCTCGGACGCCTCCCAGCGCGCAGCTTCCCCTGACAGCCCAACGCCCCAAAGTTGCGAGGCTGGAGCTCACCGCCCGGCCCCCGGCTTCGGCGGCGGCGACTCGGCCCCCGGCTCCGTGCAGAGCTCCCACCGCCGCGCCCCCGCTAACCTGACGCCGACGCGCCGCTCAGGTGGCTGCCGTGCACCCCTAGCCATGGCCAGCCCAGAACTGCCGCCGCGTCCCTTGGCGCTCCGCAGCACCTACTGCGGGCGAGCTGCCTCCGCGGGCACTGGCAGCGGTGCGGGCTGCGCCGCCGGCGGCCGGGAGCTCAGCCCTTCCCACCTACTGGTGTCGGAGCCGGCCGGTGCCGAGCATGCCCAGTACGCACCGCCCGGCGGCGCAGAGGCGCGGAGCCCCGCCTGGAGTGGCCGCCGGGTTTTCCCAGCAGCTGCGGACGGGGCGGAGCGCGAGCACCGGGGCCAACCAGTGGGAACGCCGGGACCGACTGCAGGGGCGGGGCGGGGCGGGGCGGGGCTAGAGCGGCGAATCCTCACGCAGGCCAGCCGCCCAGGTGCAGGGAGCCGCCCAGGTGTTCACCGTCCCGTGGGGCGTGGCGCCCGGTGCAGACTCACTCCCGCTGATTTTCAGTGGGCAGGGCTCCCGCCGCAACTTTCTCGAGTGGCTCATTGAAGGCACCCATGAAAAGATTTCTAAGTCACCAGCCTTCCAACCACAAGCCTGCCGAGTTCTCCCGTCAAACCACCTTGCAAATAGAAGCTCCTTAGGTCTTCCCAGGCACTCCGCTGTTAAATCTCAATGGCATTTGAACGACAGGCACAATCAGAAGAGAGTGGAAGAAAGCACAGAAGAACCTTCTCTCGTTGTTTCTGAGTTGTAGGGTCCAGCGGCGGTGGCGGGGACAGGGGGACGCTGAATTATCTCTAATAAACCGTATGTTGCCCTTTTAATAAGAAAAAAAAGATCATTCTACAATTATTTTAAGAGCACCTGCAGAAGTTCGGAAACACGTTCTCCAATGAAAGCAGGGAGATCAGGTAAGTTTGGTAAATTTCTGTGCCCCTAACGACTCCTCCTCTTCCCCGCCCCCACCCCCACCCTTCTGCATCCGCCCCCCTACGCCCCACCCACCTGCCTTCAGATCCCGCCCCTGCGCCCCACTCCGCCTCCTGGCCACGCCCTGCTCTCCTCCCCGCCCACTCGCCAAACCCTATCCTCCGGTGCCGCCTCCTTAGCCCCGCCCAGTCCCGGCCCAGTCCAGTACCTCCCTCTTTCATTTCAGTTTCTGGGAAAACCCGGAAAAGTGGATTTTACAAACTGACATTCCTGGTAGCTCCTGCAGCCAGACTGGGCATGTTCCGTCGCCGGGTCAAGAACTGATGACCAGGAGATGGGAAGCACAAACAGCTCCTAGTTTCTTTCCTTCTCTCCGTCCCTAGCAAACTAACCAAAATTGTGCCTGTGATCTCTTGCCCGTGCTCGGACCCAGAGAAGTGGGTCAGGGCCCCACTGAGCATGCTCCCGGCAGTGCCAGATTGCAGCATGTGGCTGCTTCAGGTTGCCCAAGGTTGATGTAGCCTACTCACTCACTCATCTAGACACGCAAGGTCAGAAGCAGGAAGGAAGCGGGGTTCCAGGAGCGCGTTGCCCGTGCAGAGGGCTATTTTGCAGAAGACTCTGGTTTACAAACGTCAAAGCCCGATATTTCCATAAGAATTTGAATTTAGAACCCATATGTTATAGTTAGTTTTCTGACATCTACAGTAGCAGGACATTTTAGTTCTAAGAACGCTCAGTCGCTTTTCCTTCCAAGTATTCAATAAGTATCTAACACAATTGCATTAGAACGTGAAGTTTCACCCCCGTCCTTTTTTTTAATAGACAATTAACTGCGTGCTCACTCTCAATAATTCCAATTCAGTATAAAAATGTCTCCTTTTTCTTGGGCAATTCTGCTTTTATTTTCAGACTCTATTCCTCTTTTAAATCGTTACAAGGCCTGCAAAACGTTCTCATGCTGTATTATAAACACTTGAGGTCGATGTGGGGACCTCTTTTACAGAGAAGGTAAAAATGAGCAAAGATTACAGAGAAAGATTGTACAGATTTGATATTAATAAACTCAAGAACTCAGGGTTTTTCATTGACCCCAGGCAAGTGAGTGGGATGGCTGTCTGGTTTCTGTCGAGGCAAGAGGAAGATGAGCAGGCAGGTGATTCCTGAATAAGTGTTTCCCATATTTCAACCTTTCCCCACCCCAGTCCCTCGTCAGCACGGTTGAAGGCATGATGTCTAGTCACTTTTAGTGAAAAGATGTTTACTTAGGGGATGCTGGTGGTGTTAGGAGCCCTCCTGTCCGTTCTAGTAGCGACCCTACCTAAAACAGTGTGAAACGCCCCTGGGTCCTGCGCCATCCTCACAGTTGTTCTTACATCTGAACCCATCGTTGCAGCCACTGTGTCAATTGAGCGTGTCCAGAGTCTTGCCCTTTCCCCCCTGGTGCTCTAGTGGTTACACTTTGGGCTGCTAACTGTGAGGCCAGCAGTTCAAAATTGCAACCGTGAGTCACTCTGAGGGAGAAAGATGGGGCTTTCTACTTCCATAAAGAGTTAGTCTTGGAAACCCACAGGGACAGTCTACCTTGTCCTAGAGGGTCACTTCAAGTCAGAATCGACTCGCTGGCAGTTAGTTGTCTTTACTAAGCCTGGTGTCCTTTTCCAGTGACCAGTCTCTCATGGTTTCATGTTCAAAGTACTTGAAAGGAAGTCTCGCCATCTTTACTTCTAAGGAGCATGTGGACTATCCTTCTTCCAGGACTATGAACAAAAGAGGTCATAGGGCGCAAACAGCTTGTTCTCAGCTCCCAAACAAAAGTTTGGCCATTTGAACCTGCCCAATAGTGCCCCAACACACACACACACACACACACACACACACACACACCACGGTGATCTGCTTCTATAAAGATGGCAGGCAAAGATTTTGTGTAGAGCTCAGTTCTATAAGACATGGAATCTCCATGAATTGGAATATCAACTAAATTGCAGCAGTTGTTTTTGTTTTTAACATGGACAATGGTAGACTATAGATGCTGATCGATCAGAACAGGTGCCCTTGGCACTGACAATCAGCAGAAGGAATGAGAGCTCTCAGAGAGAACAGAAGGGGAGAAGCCATGGAGAGAAAACCTGGTGAAAACAATGAGAGGGAACAACCAAGCAGAAAAACAAAGAACCATTCCTATTGTGGAAGTCTGAGGAACAGAAGGCTTTCAGTGACCAGAGGCAGTGTGGACTGCTGAAGAGCGTTCACCCCCTCTTTCCCACACTATCATGCTGTGAGTGTGGATGTTGACCTGGGTAAGTTCCAGAGCTGTTCCCAAGAGATACCAGCCATGATTGTGTCTCCCAGCTCAGAAGAGAGATGAGAGTGAGTCCAGTCAGCACACGTTTAGATCTTAGGGAAAGCACAAAGGAAATCGAAGACCTGAGGGGCTTCGGGAGGACTTCCAGAACGCCATCCACAAAGAAATCAAAAGGTCATTCATAAGCTAGGAAAGAAGGCCAAGACCAAAGGGGTTGTCAGAAGAGGCTCTGCCATGTGCTCTTAACCATGGAGTAGCTAAGGCAACTAGAAGAAATGAAGAAATACAAGAGCTGAATGGAGAATTTCAAAGGGTGGCTAGAAAAGACAGTGGAATATTATAATGAAATGGGCAAAGGCCTAGAATAAGAAAACCAAAAGGGAAGCATGTCTTAAATTGAAAGAAACAAACAAAAGTTCAAGGCTTGGGTTGAAATATTGAAAGATTCTGTAGGCAAAATATGGAATGATGCAGAAAGCATAAAAAGAAGATGGATAAAACACACATAGTCACTGTACCAACAAGCACTCTTCAACATTCAATCATTTCGAGAGACAGTTTATGATCAAGAGCCAATGGTACTAAAGGAAGAGGTCCAAGCTGCACTGATGGCATTAACCAAAAGCGAGTTCCAGGAATGGATGGACTACCAACTGAAGTGTTTCAACAAGCTGATGAAGCACTGGAAGCACTCATTTGCCTATACCAAGAAATTTGGAAGACAGCTACCTGGTGAACTGGAAGAGATCTATATTTGTACCCACTCAAAAAAAAAACAAAAAACGGTGACCAAACAGAATGAGCAAATTACAGAACAATGCAATTACTATCGCATGCAAGTAAAATTTTGCTGATGATCCTTTAACAACAGTTGCAGACATATATTGACAAGGAGCTGCCAGAAATTCAGGTTTAGAAGAGGATGTGAAACAAAGGATATCATTGCTGATGTCCAGTGGATCTTGGCTAAGAGCAGAAAATATCAGAAAGATGTTTACTTGTGTTTTATTGATTATGCCAAGGCGTTCAACTGTATGGATCATAACAAGCTATGGGTAGGCTTAAGAAGAATGGGAATTCCAGAACACTTTATTGTGCTCATGCAGAGCCTGTGGATCAAGAGACAGTTCTATCAATGCAGCAAGGGAAAACTGCATGGTTTAAAGTCAGAAAAGGTATGTATCAGGGTTGTATCCTCTCGCCATACTTAACTCAATCTGTATGCTAACCAAATCATCAGAGATGCTGGATTACATGAAGAAGAAGGTAGCATCAGGTTTGCAGGAAGGCTAATTAACAGCCTTTGGTATGTAGATGACACAACCTTGCTTGCTGAAAGTGAAGAGGTCTTGAAGCACTTGCTGATGAAGATAAAAGATTGCAGCCTTCCATAGGGTTACAATTTAATGTAAAGAAAGCCCAAATCCTCACAACTAGACTAATAGATAATGTCATGATAAATGGAGAACAGGTTGAAGTTGTAAAGGATTTCGTCTTGCTTAGACCCACAATCAATGCGTAAGGAAGGAGCTAGCAGTCACGAGATCAAATTATGCTTTGTGTTGGGTGAATTTTCTGCATAAGACCTCTTTCAAGTGTTGAAAAGCTACGATGTTAACTTGAGGCGTTAGGTGGGCCTGACCCAAGCCATGGTATTTTCCATTGCTTCGAAAGCACGTGGAAGTTGGACATGGAATAAGGAAGACAATCAATGCATTTGAATTATAGTGCAGGCGAAGAATATTGAAAGTGCCACGGACTACCAAAAGAACAAACAAATATGTCCTGGAAAAAGTACAGTCAGGATGTTCCTTAGAAGGAAGGATGGCAAAACTTCATTTCAAGTACCTTGGACTTGTTATCAT